GTTTCTCTCTCGCCCCCTCCCCGTTCCTCTCTGAAATCAATGAAAGAATCTTTAGAAAATTATTTAATGACGCAAGACCACACAGCTACTTGCTACCCTCTAAAACAAAAATATATATTTTTACAAAAAAACAATGGAGCCCTAACTGGTGTGGCTCACTGGTAGAGCGTCGGCCTGCAGACTGTAAGGTCCTGGGTTCGATACCGGTCAAGGGCATGTACCTTGGTTGCGGGCACATCCCCGGTGAGGGGTGTGCAGATGACAGCTGATCGATGTTTCTCTCTCATCGATGTTTCTAGCTCTCTATCGCTCTCCCTTCATCTCTGTAAAAAATCAATAAAACATATTTTAAAAAATTAAAAACCAATGGGAAAATATCCTGAGTGAGGGATTAACAAAACAACAACAAAAAGCTTAGCAAATCCAAATCAAGTATGGCCTTTAGTTCATCTTGTTTGCCAACTTTCCTGGGCTGTGGAGCGCCCAGATATCTAGTTCAATGTTATTGCTGAAGAGTGTTTCCTGGAGAGATTAACGTTTGAATTGGTGGGTCCAGTCAACCACTGCCCCCCACCCCTCGCCCCCCATGTATGTGGAGTCAGGCAATACACAGTGTTCAAATTTCCCAGCTGACCCATTTGCTTGTTTAAATGATTGTCCTAATAAGACTCAGGTATTGCATCAGGTAGATCTGCCTCTTCTGTGTGTGTCTCTTATCATTTTCTTATTTTTATTTTTAAATTCATTTTTATCACCCAGCCCAAACCCCTCCCATTTTCCAACCATTGGTTTGTTCTCTGTGTCTCTGAGTCTGTCTCTGTTTTGCTTATTTGTTGGTTTTTGCTTTTATTTTATTTTTTATATATCTTTATTGATTTTAGAGAGAAAGGGAGAGGGGGGTGAAAGAGAGAGAAACACCAATGATGAGAGAGAATCGCTGACTGGCTGCCTCCTGCACGCCCCCTCCTGGGGATCAATCCTGCAACCCAGGCATGTGCCCACGGCCAGAATCAAACCCGGGACCCTTCAGTCCGAAGGCCGACGCTCTATCCAATGAGCCATGCCAGCTAGAGCTGGTTTTGCTTTTAGATTCCACGTACAAGCGAAACCATATGCATCTGTCTTCCTCTGTCTGACTTAGGTCTCTGGGCCTAAGACCCTCTCGGCCCATCCATGTTGTCACAAACGCCAACATTTCATTCGTTTTTATGGTGGAGAAATATTCCATTGTATGTAGGTACCGCATCTTCCTTTTTTCTTTTTTTCTCTTTCTTTCTTTCTTTCTTTCTTTCTTTCTTTCTTTCTTTCTTTCTTTCTTTCTTTCTTTCTTTTTAATCCTCCCACAGGATGTCGGTAGTGGAGAGGTGGCAGGTCGCTTCTTTTTTCTTTTCTTTTCTTTATTTTTTTAAACATATTTTTATTGATTTCAGAGAAAGGAAGGGAGAGAGATTTTTTTCATTTTTAAAAATATATATTTTATTGATTTTCCACAGAGATGAAGAGAGAGGGATAGAGAGTTAGAAACATCGATGAGAGAGAGTCATCGATCAGCTGCCTCTTGCACACCCCCTACTGGGGATGTGCCCGCAACCAAGGTACATGCCCTTGCCCGGAATCGAACCCCTGACCTTTCAGTCCGCAGGCCGATGCTCTATCCACTGAGCCAAACCGGTCCGGCATTTTTTCATTTTTTTAAGGTATTATATGTGTACATATCTTACCATTGCCCCCCCCACTCCCCTACATGCCCTCCCTCCCCAGAGTTTTTTGTCCATTGGTCATAATTCTATGCATGCATACAAGTCCTTCGGTTGATCTGTTATCTCCTCCATATCTCCCTACCCTTCCCCATTGTAATTTGACAGTCTGTTTGATGCTTTACTGCCTCTGTATCTATCTTTTTGTTCATCAGTTTATAATGTTCTTTGTTATCCACAAATGAGTGGGGTCATGTGGTGTTTCTCTTTCATTGACTGGCTTATTTCACTCAGCATGATGTTCTCCAATTCCATCCAGGTTGCTGCAAATGATGAGAATTCCTTCTTTTTCATGGCAGCATAGTATTCCATTGTGTAGATGTACCATAGCTCTTTGATCCAATCATCTGCTGATGGGCACCTAGGCTGTTTCCAAATCCTAGCTATGGTAAATTGTGCTGCTATGAACATAGGGGTGCATATATCCTTTCTGATTGGTGTTTCTAGCTTCTTGGGATATATTCCTAGGAGTGGGATCGCTGGGTCAAATGGGAGTTCCATTTTCGTGGGGTTTTTTTGTTTGTTTGTTTTGTTTTGTTTTTTAGGAAACTCCATACTGTTCTCCATAGTGGCTGCCCCAGTCTGCATTCCCACCAGCAGTGCACGAGAGTTCCTTTTTCTCCGCATCCTCGCCAGTGCTTGTCATTTGATGTGTTGATGGCAGCCATTCTGATGCAGGGGGAAAGCATTTCCAGGGGCGGGAACAGCCGGCGCCAAGGCCCTGGGCAGGACAAGCCCTGCGGACGCCGCTCCGGGGAGATGCAGTCACTGAGGGGCACAGGGGCACAGGGGCACGTCTTGCGTGTGCCCCTGTGCGTCCTGCGTGCGCCCCTGCGGCCTTGCGTGCATCCTGTGCGTCTTGGGTGAGTCTTGTGTGCGCCCCTGAGCGTCCTGCATGCGCCCCTGAGCATCCTGCATGTGCCCCTATGCGGTTTGCGTGAGCCCCTGTGCGTCCTGCGTGCGGCCCTGTGTGTCTTGCATGCGCCCCTATGCTCCTACGTGCGCCCCTGTGCGTCCTGCGTGCGCCCTGTGCGTCTTGCGTGAGTCTTGAGTGCACCCCTGTGCGTCCTGCGTGTGGCCCTGTGCGTCCTGCATGCGCCCCTATGCGGTTTGCGTGAGCCCCTGTGCGTCCTGCGTGCGGCCCTGTGCGTCTTGCGTGCGCCCCTGTGCGTCTTGCGTGAGTCTTGAATGCGCCCCTATGCGTCCTGCGTGCAGCCCTGTGCGTCCTGCATGCGCCCCTATGCGGTTTGCGTGAGCCCCTGTGCGTCCTGCGTGCGGCCCTGTGTGTCTTGCGTGCGCCCCTATGCTTCTATGTGGACCCCTGTGCGTCCTGCGTGCGCTCCTGCGGGCCTGTGTGCGCCCCTGCGGGCCTGTGTGTCTTGCGTGAGTCTTGCATGTGCCCCTGTGCGCCCGCGGGCTCTGCTGGGGATCTAGCTCTCGCTGGGCACCTGCTGCTCACGCTGCCTCGGCCCAGGCAGCGTGTTCCTGGGGGCTGCGCACTGAAGGGGTCCTGGCTGTGTCCTGCGTCCCCACCTCGTGCTTCCTCCTCAAGAGTGTGGCCGGGGGCTGCCACGTGGCCAAAGGCTGGGGCCTTCACTGTGGGTCGTACTGAGTGCGCCTCCTGCTGGCTGCCATCTGCTGGCCAGGAGGTCTTTACCGTCTGGCCTGCCACATCCGCCACTTCGGTGACATCTCGCCTCTGCGGGCCTGGGGTGTGCCACTCCAGGGTCTTCGAGGCCCACGTGTGGGCGGCCACAGTGCTCATCATGGCTGCCCCCTTCTGTCCCTACAGCCACGGTTCTGGACCCCGCCCTGCAGATCCCATGGGCCGCCGGCTGGCCACAGGCCCTGTCCACAGTGCCTCCCACCTGGTCAGTGACGGGGTGGCCGGAGCATCCACTCAAGGATGGGGTTTTCAGGAATGAAGCCAGAGGCGCCAAGAATCAGAAGACAAGGAGAGTGTAAACACATGCCCACCTGGAGGGCGCTGTCCTTGGTGCTGAAACGGAGTCCTCTCCCTCCCCCTCTCCAGCCCCCCCTGCCTCACACTGTCACCCACAGCTCACTCTGAACCGGGGTGTTGTCCGGGCGCTTCCACGTCGCGTCCTCCTGTCCTCACAGCCAGAGAAATTGGCTTAAACCAAAGCTCAAGATCTCTATGACCTCCTTCCCCTAGTCTCTGTGGGATTTAAGAACAGAAGAGGACTTTTTTTTCCCCCTTCTGAATCACTACTGGGCAAAGGCACACCTAATTTGGAATCCATCTTTAGGCCGTATCAATGAGCATGCATGGGCACCCTACTGTGTGCTAAAATGTGCTCTGTATGCTGGGAGCACAGAAATAAATCTGACTCCATGTCTACTTCAACAGTCTGTGGCAAAGGTGGATAAAAAGACTGGAGGAGCAGAGATTGGGGAAGGAGACGAGTCTGGTCCAAAAATTTATCACAAACTCTCAGGAGAATGTGGTCACCAAACTGAAGTTTCGGGAACCTTCTAAGATGGTCCTTGTTTGACACAGTCAATAAACACTCCATGCGTACAACAGACACATGCTTGGTCATATGCAAGATTATTTTTTAAATTTATTGATTGATTTGAGAGAAACAGAGAAACATCCATTTGTTGTTCCACTTATTTATGCATTCAGTCACTGCATCTTTTTTGTCGTTATTGTTTGTTAATCCTCACCCAAGGATATTTTTTCATTGGTTTTTAGAGAGAGTGGAAAGGAGGGAGGGAGGGAGGAGAGAGAGAGAGAGAGAGGAGAGAGAGAGAGAGAGACGGAGAGAGAGATTGGTTGCTTCTTGCACTCTACCCAACCTGGCTAGAGATTCATGCCCTTGACCAGGAAACCAAGCTGTAACCCTTCCGACACAATGGACAGAGCCAGAATTGTACCATTTTAAGGAGTAAAATATATGGTCTGTAAGGTTATATCTCAATAAAAATATAATGTGTTGCCCAAACCGTTTGGCTCAGTGGATAGAACTTCGGCCTGCGGACTGAAGGGTCCTGGGTTCAATTCTGGTCAAGGGCATGTTCCTTGGTTGTGGGCACATCCCCGGTAGGGGGCGTGCAAGAGGCAGCTAATTGATGATTCTCTCTCATCGATGTTTCTAACTCTCTATCCCTCTCTCTTCCTCTCTGTAAAAAAAAAAATCAATGAACTATATTTAAAAATATATGTATATATATATAATGTGTTGGCAGCGTGAGATCTCCCCGTGCCCAGGCCGGCGGTCAGCCTCGGGGCCAGCGCAGGGTCCTGCGGAGAGCCGCCCGCACCTCCCTGTTCCGCAGGCAGTAGATGACGGGGTTGCACATGGGCGTGACCACGGTGTAGACGACGGACAGCACCTTGTTGAGGTCCGTGGCGTCGATGCGGCGGGGGCGGGCGTAGATGAACATGGTGGCCGCGTAGAAGATCCCAGCCACTGCCAGGTGGGAGGCGCAGGTGGAGAAGGCTTTGCGGCGGGCCGCGGCGGTGGGCATCCGGAGCACCGCCCTCCCGATGGCCACGTAGGAGGCGCCGGCCACCAGCAGGGAGCCCCAGAGGATGACCACGGCGGAGACGAAGTCCACCAGCTCGGTGAGCGCCACGTGGGCGCAGGACAGGCCGAGCAGCGGGGACACGTCGCAGAAGAAGTGGTTGAGGGCGTTGGGGCCGCAGAAGGTCAGGCTGGCGATGCAGGAGGTCTTGGCGGCGGACACCAGCAGCCCGCCCAGCCAGGAGGCCGCGGCCAGGCCCAGGCAGACCCGGGGCCTCAGGAGCAGCGGGTAGCGGAGCGGGTGGCAGATGGCCGCGTAGCGGTCGTAGGCCATGGAGGCCAGCAGGGCGCACTCGGTGCAGATGAGGGCGATGAAGAGGAAGAGCTGGGCCATGCAGGCCGCGAAGGGGACGCGGCAGGGCCCGCCCCGCAGCCCCGCCAGCAGGGTGGGCGTGACCACGGACACGTAGCACATCTCCAGGCCGCTCAGCTGGCCCAGGAAGAAGTACATGGGCTTGTGCAGCTCCCCGTGGGCGCGGACGAGGCAGACGATGAGGGCGTTCTCCAGGAGGGTGGCCAGGTACAGGGTCAGGAAGGTGGCAAAGAGGGCGTCCTGTACACCCGGCCTCGTGGACAGGCCCAGCAGGACGAACTCCTGGACTCGGGTCAGGTTGCCCAGCTCCGAGGGCCTCTCCATCTGAGAAATAAACAGACACCCATAAGGCCTAGCTGGTGCGTTTCAGTGGTTAGAGCATCAGCCCTCCATCCAAAGGTTCAAGGGTTCGATTTCTGGTGAAGGGCACGCACCTGGGTTGCAAGTTTGATCCTTAGCACCTGGTCTCAGCACCTGAGGGAGACAGCCATTCAAGGTGTCTCTCTCATATCGATGTGTTTTTTCTCTCTCTCTCTCTCTTCACTCTCTTCTTCTCTCTCTAAAAAATCAATGGAAAGCCCTGATCAGTTTGACTCAGTGGATAGAGTATCGGCCTGTGGACTAAAGGGTCCCAGGTTTGATTCTGGACAAGGGCATGGACCTCGGTTGTGGGCACATCCCCAGTAGAGGGTGTGCAGGAGGCAGCTGATGGATGTTTCTCACTCATTGATGTTTCTAACTCTTCTCCCTTCCTCTCTATAAAAATAAATAAATAAATAAATAAATAAATAAATAAATAAATAAATATCTAAAAAATAAAAAAAAAAACAGATCCTACTTTTTAAAATAAATGGGGAAAAAATATCCCTTTTCCATTGGTTAAGCATCAGCCCTCCATCCAGTGGTTCAAGGGTTCAATTCCTGATGAAGGGCACGCACCTGCATTGCAAGTTCGATCCTCAGCCCCGGTCTGGGCACCTGAGGGAAACTACCAATCAAGGTGTCTCTCTCATATTGATGTTTCTCTCTCTCTCTTTCTCTCCTCACTTCCTACTTCTCTTTCTAAAAATCAATGGAAAGCCCTAACTGGTTTGGCTCAGTGGGTAGAGCATTGGCATATAGACTGAAAGGCTCCAGGTTCGATTCTGGTCAAGGGCATGTACCTTGGCTGTGGGCTCATCCCCAGTGGGGGTTGTTCAGGAGGCAGCTGATCAAGGTTTCTCTCTCATCAATGTTTCTAATTCTCTATCCCTCTCACTTCCTCTCTGTAAAAAATAAATATGTATATATAATTTTTAAATTCTTATTTCCCTATTCCAGGATTTCCCTACTAACTTGATGTCATTTATTGAAATTTGCCACATCTATTAGCAAAGAACGTGAGTTGTGGTGATTTTCTAGAAAAAGGAAAAGAAAAGGAAATTTCATTTCTGATTTTGTCCCACCACACACTCCCCAACTTTCAATATAAAGATGGAGATAACATTTATTGCATATATCTATGTCCCGGGTGGGTCCTTTTAATAACACATTTTGTACATTTTCAATATCCTGCAACACAGGCACCGTTTTCTTTAGTATTAAAAGCAAAACAAACAGCAAAACCACCAAGATTTCCAGAGGCTACAAGCACGAAGTGAGAGCCCTGGGATTTTTCTTGCATGAAGAATGTGTTGTTTATGAATCATGCTTTTGGTCTGTGTGAGATAAGATTAAGTGAAGCCACAAACCTAATAGATTTTTTTAAAAGTATTGCTCACAGTGTCCCCTTTCTCCCCCCCATTTGATCCCCTCCACCTAACCCCCCAACAACACAGGCCTTCCCCATACTATTGTCTGTGTCCATGGGCTATGTATATCTATAATAATAAAAGGGTAATATGCTAATTAGACCAGACGTCCTTCTGGACAAAGCCACAGAGGTGGGGGACAAGGCAGAGGCAATTAGGGTGATCATGTCAGCAGGGGAGAGCAGTTAGGGGCAATCAGGCAGGCAGACAGGCAGGCAAGTGGTTAGGAGCCAGCATTCCTGGGTTGTGAGAGGGATGGCCCAGATTGGAGAGGGTGAAGGCTGGGCTAAGGGACCTCATCTCACCCCCCCCCCTAATCTCCGTGCATGAATTTCGTGCACCGGGCCTCTAGTATGCAAATAAGTTCTTTGGTTAATCTTTTCCCATCCCCTCCATCCCTATCCCCTCTGAGATCTGTCCGTCTGTTCTATGCATCCATGTGGCTGGACCTATTTTATTCCTAGATTTATTGTGTTCATGAACGCCCACATATGAGTGGGATCCTGTGATATTTGTCTCTCCCTAAATGGCTAATGTCACTGAGCAGGTTCAACTCAGCCCCATGGGCTTTTGGGGGGAGCTGTCCGCGGTGCTGAGACAGCCACTCTCAGCCGCAGGGCCCTGTCCCACCCAGAGGCCGCTGTCCGCGGTGCTGAAACGGTCCCGCCCAGAGGCCGCTGTCCGCGGTGCTGAAACGGTCCCGCCCAGAGGCCTCTGTCCGCGGTGCTGAACGCGCCTGCAGCCCAGCAGCCTAAGCGCCTGCTGTCTGAGCTCCCAGGGACCCCGCCTCCCCTGTCCCCCTCTCCGGGCGCTTCCCGCCCCTCATCGGACCAGCCTCTGTCCCTAAGTCCTCTCTCTAGCCCTGGGCCACATTCCACCGCGCTGTGAGGTCTCATAGCCAGTCAGCTTCGGGGCCTGAGAGGTGGTTAGTTATGGCTTCTCTCGAGTCAGAGGCAACCCGTTTCATTCCAAAGGCGACATTGGAATTTCTCAGCTGAGGGTCAGGGAGCACGGCCACTGTTTGGGGTTTTTATTTCATCCCATAGGGTATGAACAATGTACTGAGCACTGAGCTAGGCACAGAAGGGGCATTGGGATGGGCAAGATATGGGGGGTTGTGTTTCTACTGGTATGTGATGCTTTCTTTTTAAAATATATTTTGTTGATATTTTACAGAGAGGAAGGGAGAGAGAAAGAGAGTTAGAAACATCGATGAGAGAGAATCATTGATCAGCTGCCTCCTGCACACTCCCTACTGGGTATGTGCCTGCAACCAAAGTACATGCCCTTGACCGGAATCGAACCCGGAACCTTTGAGTCTGCAGGCCGATGCTCTATCCACTGAGCCAAACCAGTTAGGGCTATGATGCTTTCTTATTGAGGACAGAATTACAGATGTGTCCCATTTTCCTCCCTTTTTGTCCCCACCGTCCAACCCCTGCCCCACCCCGGCCTTCCCCATACTATTGTCCGTGTCCATGGGCTATGCATACATGCATACATGTTCTTTAGCCAATCTCCTCCCGGCCACCCCCCTCCCTCTGATATCTGTCACTTTGTCCCATGCATCCATTCATACTTTTGGACTTATTTTGTTCCTCAGTTTATTTTGCTCATCAGATTCCACCTATAAGTGAACTCCTGTGGTCTTTGTCTTTCTTTGGCTGACGTATTATGCTTACTGATGCTTTCTTAGTAGCTAAACGTGGACATGGGACTTCACCTGCCTGACCCTCAATAGCCTTTTCTGAGAAGAAAAAAAAAAGATAGATGTAACTATTTTCCTGGGAAATTCTGTAATAATCCACCAATGTTTTTCATGCACATACACTAAGTGGCCAGATTATGATGATCTCTGAATGCACAATCATCTGACCACTCAGGGTACATCCTATAGAATAAAAAAGCGAATATGCAAATGGTCCCTCGACCAGGAGTTTGACCAGCAGGCAGGCCAGCCAACCGCCCATGTCCCTCCCCCTGGCCAGGCTGGCTGAACCCCACCCATGCATAAATCCATGCACCAGGCATATATTTATATTTATATTTATATTTATATTTATATTTATATTTATATTTATATTTATATTTATATTTATATTTATATTTATATTTATATTTATATTTATATTTATATTTATATTTATATTTATATTTATATTTATATTTATATTTATATTTATATTTATATTTATATTTATATTTATATTTATATTTATATTTATATTTATATTTATATTTATATTTATATTTATATTTATATATATTGAGTGGCCAGATTATTATGCATTCAGAGATCATAATAATCTGGGCACTCAGGGTATAGCTTTAATTGAATTTATTGGGGTGACACTGTTAACAAAATTATACAGGTTTTGGGTGCACAGTTCTGCAACACATCACCCATACACTATATTGTGTGTTCTGCACCGAAGTCAGCTCTCCGTCTGTCACCATTTACTCCACCAATACCCTCCTCCACCTCCCATTTCCCCAGCTATCACCACACTGTTGTCCGTGTCCTTGAGCTCTCTCTCTCTCTCTCTCTTTCTCTCTCTCTCTCTCTTTCTTTTTTGCTCAATCTCTTCACACTCCCATCCCTTCCTCCATCCACTGTTAGCCTGCTCTCTAGCTATGAGCCTGCCTCTATTTTGTGTATGAGCTCATTTTGTTCATTGGATTCCACAGGGGAGTGAAATCACCTGGTGCTTGTCTTTCTCTGACTAGCTTAGTTCACTCAGCATGCTGCTCTCCGGGCCCACCCAGCTCCATTACTGAATATGAGTCAGGGATCCCCGCTCTGAACACAGGCTCTGTCCCTGAGCAGCTGTGAGGTTATGGACAAGGTATGTGTGTCCTCCTAGCACTTCCGTTTCCTTATGTGGAAACTGGAGATGATTTGATTCCTTATAGTGTCGCCCTGGGCCAAGTTTCTGTTCCGTGATGAGCAATAAAAAATTAGCTATTGTTATTAAGGAGTATGCCATCCACACTTAGGTATCATCTTTATGATACGGACATTATTTCTTTTGTTTTTGTTGGTGTTAATTTCCCCCCAGAACATTTCTCCTTTGATTATTATTATTTATTATTATTATTTTGCTAGAGCGAGTAGAATGGAGAGAGGGAAGGTGGCAGGGAGAAAGGGGAGAGAGGAGAGAGAGAGATAGAGACGTGAGATAGACACATCTATTGGTTGCCTCCTGCAGGTGCCCTGACCAGGACCTGAGATCAAACCTGTAACCCAGGTGCATGTCCTTGAGGGAGAATTGAACCTGAGATCCTTCCATGTGCAGGGCCCATGCTCTAACCACTTAGAGACACCATCCAGGGCTCTGGTCTGTACATTATTTCATTGATCCAGGTTGTCACTATCCTGTGAGTGGGCTCTTATTTTCTACATTTCATTCAGGAGAGGAATAAAAGCTTCGAGAGGTTCCCTGACCGATTTGGCTCAGTGGATAGAGCGTCGGCCTGCAGACTGAAGGGTCCCAGGTTCGATTCCGGTCAAAGGCATGGGGTGTGCAGGAGGCA